AGCAACAACACCTCCAAGGCTGGCAGGTCCTGGAAGCGATACTTCCCCAACGCCTGCAATTTGTTGGAAGAGAGGTCCAGGTATCGAAGACTGCTGATGTTATGGAATGCTCCCGGACTGAGCAAAGAGATGCGGTTATGGGACATTTGTAAAGTGTGCAGCCTTGGGAGCTCGTAAAAGCTGCCGGCTGCCAGCCATGTTAGTCTGTTATGACTGAGGTCCAGGACAGAAGTCGTGAATGGAAGCGGGTTAGGGAATCTATCCAGACCCAAGGAGCCACAGTTCAATATGTCAGAGATGCACAGGCAGCCCTGAGGACAAATAGCTCCCGAGAGCCGAACCAAGAGCGAGATCAAAACCACACAAGATGTAGAAGTCATTCTTTTGGTTGCACATAAAAAGGATTACATTAAAACAGTGCCAACACGGTTGATACAGGAAGCCCTCTGCTCTTAAAGACCTCCTACAAAGGTCGTTTTACATCTGTCATGTCTTCCAATAATTCACAGATGGCCATCTAATTTCCTCTGTACCATGCAGATGGGCAGTATCTGGGGCAGGGAACGGACTAAGAATAAAACAGTATGCAATTACAACATGTATTTAAAATGAATGTTTTACATTGATTAACCTACTCTGTTAGCACAACATACACAGGAAAACCTACCAAAAAAAGTTACTCAGAACCTTCTTAGATCCGGCTCCTCTGTTCTCACTTTGCTGTGTCAATCCATAGTTAGAAGTTGTTCAAACAGATTATCCTGGTCTGAAAAGTCCAAAGCGTTTTCCAGTAAATGTAATATATCCCTGAAATGAAACTCGTACCTTTCCCAGTTCTCCTAAGGCTGTGCGCCCTTGTTGTTTGCAGAGTGTCCTTTCACTGAGTGATGAGCCCACAGAGCACAGCACTAATCTCTTCCCATCCTTGCCTCTGGTTCCAAAGCACCGCCTCACGTCTCTCCCTCTCATGCTGTGATATAGCTCTCTCTATCTTTCTCTCACTCTGTCTCTTTCTCTCTCCAATTGTTTGGTTCCTTTAATCCCCTCTGGATTTTACTTTTTCGTTCAGTTTTTTCCCCCCATACAGCACATCTCATAACAGGATTTAGGATGCTGTGTTTGTATCGTCTTACATTTCATAAAAATCATCAAAACATTTGGACTTGGATGAGAGAGAATTTGTTTGTATAGCATGCGGTACCAGTCAGCTTAGAGACCGCAGCTTTGACTCCCCCTCATCTCCGCTGCCAGGCGGTGTTTGACAGCTGTTGTCGGTTGTCTTGGTCATGGTGGTCCTGAGGGAGCTGACTGCTGTCACACTGAATTGATCTATCTATCTATCTATCTATCTATCTATCTATCTATCTATCCGTCTGTCTTAAGGATCACTTAGCTGGAGGCAAACCTTCTTTGATTGCCCTACTTTTATAAATAATTACCTAATGACATCCATCTTCAGTTCATCTGTCCATGCTTTTCAGTAAAACTAGATAGGTACAAAATGAGGCCCATGCAAGCATAATGTTTTGGAATATAATGGATCTTGGAGTCAAGGCAAGATAATCAGTCACAGCATGTGTGACAAATCTAAAAGTGTGAAATGGAATTAGGATGTTTGTTTTTATAGAGTGCCATTCTGTTAGGGTGGCATCTCTATAGAAACACTGACACATGGCAGAGATAGCTGGCAGCAGTCACACTGACAAAAGCACAGAGTACTCCCACACACAAGACCAACCCACTGATATGTCTTACAGTATTCCAGAAAATGACTGGAGACAACATTGCACAGTAGATCTACTCCACACTCACAGGATGTGGGCTCATGAAATGCTGAATGTGTGGGACATTAACTGAAAGGCAGAAGCTCTGGATTCCATTGCAGCCTTACATTTTCTGTGACGACAAACCATTTAATACACTGTGATTTATACTCAAATCGATGCTTCACTGACCTTTCAAATCCAAGCGTTTCTTTGTGGAAAAACGTTTGCCAGTTTTTGATCTTTGATTTTGATCTCCATCACATAAACGGAAACGTACTTTTGAGTTTGAAAAATAAAATTTATTTAAAGGGGTCATATGATGTTGCTAAAAAGAACATTATTTTGTGTATTTGGTGTAATGAAATGTGTTTATGCGGTTTAAGGTTAAAAAAAAACATTATTTTCCACATACTGTACATTATTGTTTCTCCTCTATGCCCCGCCTTTCTGAAACGCGTCGATTTTTACAAAGCTCATCGGTCTGAAAACCGAGGTGTGCTCTGATTGGCCAGCTATCCAGTGCGTTGTGATTGGCCGAATACCTTAAGCGTGTGACGGAAATGCTACGCCCCTTACCATACTGTTGATGCCTTGCCTCGGCCAGAGCGACGGGACAAAAACATGAAAACCCATTATAAACGAGGCATTTGTTGCATCACTTTGACATAAGCGGAGGTTTTTGTTTTGTTTTGTTGGCGTGTACTGTTGAGGTCTTTTTCTAAACAATGTTTTACTGTGGTATTTTTCAAGACTATATTGTTTCAAAAACATTAAATAAATGTTCATGAATGTTTATTTATATTATTTAATATATTAGAATTGCATAGATGTTGCATCAAATAGGTTATTCATATAAAAAACCAGAAGATGGAAGCACTTGCATATGTGATAAACTTACTGAATATCAGCCCAGTGTATTTGTGTTGAATGCGAATGGGACATGGACTAGTAAACTATAAGGTTTAGCTTATGTAAAAAGTCAATTTGCAGAAAATGCTTTTCTTTTCTTGTTGTGGTTTTGTATGTTGGTTTATACACATAACTCAAAATCCTCTTTAATTGTAATGTTTTTGTAAATTTGATATTATTATATTTTTGAAAACAATAAATTTTACAATTTTACAATTCAAATTACATTTGAATGAACCTAATGTATCCCAGGAAATATCCACTGGAGTAGCTATATATATATATATATATAGGCCTATACTCCAGTGGATATTTCTTAGGTGGCATATATATATATCTATATTCAGAAAGTCTTCCAGTTTTGTGGACATTCACACAAAGACCAGTCACTGGTCAGGTGGCTGTAATTAGACAATTGAGAGGCCACACAGCATTTGACCCCTGGATTTACAAAAATCATTTTAATTTTAAGAAGTGTTTTCTCAACATTTCAACATTGCATTAACTACTGATGAACACATTAATTTTTATTTGAGTTATCATGTTTTTTTAACCATGTATTACTAGGTCTTATTTGGAAAGCTTTTGTATTTCAAACACATGTTAATAAATGTTAGCTTTTTAGACTTTTTTAGTTTTTCTTTTCCCTTTGTTTATCTTTCTTTCTTTCTTTTTCTTTTTCTTTCTCACCCTTCTTTGTGTTTAAGATGTTTGTGTTGGCCTGTCAGTGCAGTGGTTGAGGAGTTTGACTCAAGCATTCATTTCCTCCTGCTGACCTCCTTCTTCAGCAGTGAACTCTCACAGAGACTCTGCAGAGGGGATCGATTGGATACAATGGAGAGTAATTCCTCCTCAGGAGAAATGTGCAACTGAGATCAATTGATCGAGTTGACCAAGGATGCAGTGAGGAGAATCATAATTAGTTACACTGAATAGGCTTAGTGTGTGTTGATGTCTGTGTGTGTGTTCATGTGCATCTTTGTCTTTGATAGTGTGCAAGAGTGACTGAGGTCTATTCATTGTGTTCAATATAGCCTATTGTAACAATAAGACTGTGCAATTGTGCAAACAATTAGCAGGGCAACAGAGACTATTCACTTTCTTCTTTTGAAATGTCTTTTACACAATGCTTATGAATTAGAATTGACATTTGCGTCCTTTTCTTAAAGGTGAATGGATCAAATTTGGCAACCTGTTTATTTGTCTGTTTCACAAATACAAACTCATTTTTCACTCATTACCTCAATGTGTGTTTTGCTCATTAATTGTCTTTGTGGTACTTGAGATTTCTCATTACAGGCTAAATAAGATGATGTTGCATAATAAGCCCACATTTAAAGTGTAGTACAACTTGCTTTTAGGCCAAAGCACAGCTAGGAGTATTGTGTTCTTGCCTAATGACTTGAAAATAATGTGAAGGTTTACATTATCGCCGCATTTCCAAGGATACAGACCCATGACTGATTCATCTGCTTTGCTCTTAATTAAGTCACGCTTCGCTTGTGGTTCCATACATGGATGATTATTTGTAAGAAATTTGTCTGCATATACTGTAATCTTCCCTCTATAGGAAATTTACGCAGTGAAGGCAGAGAAACACACACACACACACACACTGTATATATCATAGGGATAATTTCAAAAATGGACCTATGAACTTATCCTAAGAAATATCCACTGGAGTACCGAAAGGGGGCAGTAGTGTTATAAAATGACAGCTTTCACCGATGCACTTCATTAGTGAGGCTGTCACTCACAGCACCCCCATAACCCGTCTCATTAGTTATAATAGTCGGATCATGAGAGGCACAGGAGGGTTCGAGGGAGGATCCCAGCAGGATCACCAATTCTTCATTTCGAATAATTATCTTCGAAAATTTCTACATCACGCATTCTAATGGCAACACGTGTTTCTTTTCTTGTTATGCTTCACGAGAACAGAGAGATTGACAAACTCAACACAAAAATGTTTTAGTTTTTTTTAAGGTCCAATGAATCAACAAATCAGATATTAATGAAGATATTTTAGTTAACAAGCCATTTTCTGTCACTGCAAATAATAACACAATATTATTTAAAGTGGTTAATTTATTCTGCAAAACCAAGCCTGAAAAGACTTTGAAGTTACATTAAAAGCTGTAAAATAAATCTATACTTGTTTGTTGTGATCCCAAGCGTTCACGTAGTAGTTCTCGGTCAAAGTAACTGTACGGAATGTATCCAGCATGCAGGCAGCGAGTGTGAGCATTCAGGGGAGGGCGAAGTAAGTGATGCTGAGCCAATGGAGATACTCGTGCGAGAAGCATCTGTCCGAAACCCAAACTAACCGCTGGCAGAACGCTACAGTCTCCGGTGTGAGAAGCGCGTCGAGATGATCATCTGACTGAAGTTTGAAGAAGCTCGCTCTTATTCACTGACTTTGGGGGATTCGCTCGAGCAGAACAAAACAAGAAGGTAATAATACGCACGAGAAGGTTATTACTGAAAGTTTGTCGTGTTATTTTGCATATGCTCGAGCTCGAGACGCATTAGCCTATGCGCTGACTGCAGTTTGTGCATGTTTCTCATATGAGCTTCCAACAGCATAATCTGCATTTCGTTATTAAGAAAACACGTTTGAACGATACTAAATTAATTTATATTATAATTTATATTAAATATTTTGCCGTCATATGAAAAGCGTATAAAAGTGGAAACCATACAGTTTAGGAAAGCCGATCTTGGAGGCGTTTGTTTGTATCTTGATTTAATCTTGATTTCAGGATGTTTTCAGTGATGTAGTATGTACTATTTTTATTTAACATAAATTAATATTTTTGAGTTCACGACTGGGTAAGGCGGTGTTCTGCTCCTTGCCGTCTGTCTTCGGTGTGTTTTCACCGGTTTTGGAGATGTTGTTCCGCATTAGATCAGCACTGCACAACCCCCAGCTCTTATGATGCTGAACATTCTCTCAAGGGTTTGTTAAGAGAATGGCCATTTCTATTATGGAGAATGGTTGTTTAGTAAGAGGCAGTTAACTTTATTATTCGCTTGATTTAAAGGGGTCATATGATGCGATTTCAAGTTTTCCTTTCTCTTTGGAGTGTTACAAGCTGATTGTGCATAGATAAGATCCCTGAAGTTGCAAAGACTAAAGTCTCAAAACCAAAGAGATATTCTTTATCAAAGTTAAGACTCTGCCACGCCCCCCTAAAACGGCTCGTTCTAACACGCCCCAAACATATCTACCTCACTATGTGGAAACATTTGCATAATGCCACCTAATAACAACAAGCGCTTTTAGTCACAGTACACAGTACAGCTATGATCTTGCTTAATTTAATCACCTGTTGCTGTTCTCTTTCATCTCAGACTGCATTGTAAATTTGGGATTAATGTTTCAGCAAAACCATTTTACAAGCTCACAGTAATGAAGCCTGTGGTTGTGCCCTTCGTCTTTTTATGCTCACAGTTTGTGTAACCTGTCTTCAGATGTAATTTCCACTGCCTTCATCTGAATCAAGTTCTTTTGAGGGTCACATTACATTTGTTCATTTAGTAGACACTTTAAAGGGATAGTTCAACTAAAAATAATGAAAAATGTGTCATCATTTACTTACCCATTTTGTATGACACAAAAGAAGATAGGCCTATTTTGAGAAATGTCTCAGTGTTTTAGTCCATACAATGCAAGCCAATGGTAGCCAAAACTGTTCGGCTACAGCATTCTCCAGAATATCTTCTTTTGTTTTTCACAGCAGAAAGAAAGTCATGCAGGTTTGGAACGACATGAGGGTGAGCAATGGATGACATTGAGTGTAATGATATTTTTGGGTGAACTATCCTTTTAAGTAAATTATCAGTGGGAAAAAATACAACAGCAGCCAACAATATTAGCAGTCATGTCAAAAGGGATAGATTTAATGGCGGTTTATTGTCTGGAGATGTCATTTGCTACGTGAATTGGTGTTTGCAACCCACTTTATATATGTATCATATTTTTGAGTGAAACATTATTTTTAATGAGAATAAAAAAATAGGGTGGGACTTTATTTCATCCTTTAAAATTTGACTGGATGGTGGGTATTTCATACCAGAATGGATGCAAAAATGGTGGCTAAATAGCTATTTGACTATTGGTTAATGTAAAGCACGGCCTACATTTTGATTAAAGATAATAAGAACAAACACATTTTGTCTTTGGAATACGTATATGTATATGTATATGTATATATATATGTATATGTGTATATGTGTATATGTATATATATATGTATATGTGTATATATATATATATATATATATATATGTATATGTGTGTATATATATATGTATATGTGTGTATATATATATGTATATGTGTGTATATATATATGTATATGTGTGTATATATATATGTATATGTGTGTATATATATATGTATATGTGTGTATATATATATGTATATGTGTGTATATATATATGTATATGTGTGTATATATATATGTATATGTGTGTATATATATAT